TTATAAATAAACTAGATGATGCTTACGACTTCGTACGTGTGAAAATAAGAAATATTAAGAAATATAGCGTATGTTACTGATAACGTGACTTTTAATGGTGAAAGAATTTTTGAAATTGGTCCAGTAGTTTTTGAGTTACTGCAATACATACAAAAATACAAATCTTTCTTCTTTTAAAATAACTTAGTTTTATGAATAAATAAGGAAGGTTTTACAAACTAGGAAGGAGGTATTCCTATGTAATTTTAATTAATAATTATCTTGGTACTAAAGTCAACTAATTGTTTATTTCACTGCAAAAGAATATCTTTTTCGTAAATGTCAGTTTATAAGATAATAACGAGCAAATAAAAAGATACAGACCGTGTACCACACCCATTTATCAGGCGCGCCTACATTCGTAAACATAATTTCGCTATAGACAGAAATAGCTCGGGAAGAATCAATTACGGTATGCGATAAACATCAATATAGAGGGAGTCATTGCGCTTTATTACAATTCGGCGATAAAGCCGTATATTGAATATAATCCTTTGTAATACAGGCACTTTATTGCCTCAGGGACGTCACAATGTTGTGATGATATTATCACCGCGATATTAAGCTTGTCTCGGATAAAGAGAACAGAAAATAGCTAAGGATACTCACCGATGGGATTTTTTTAAAGTATTGTGTTATTAACGCCATCTTATGTGTCGTTTACAAAATTTATTTGTTCACAATACTTAATGTCTTATGACAAGCATTCGATTTTGAACTTCCTAGTTGTATTTATTACAACGAAACATTCTTGGTGTAAAAACCCAGTATTAATTTGCGGTCGGACTCAAGCGGCGCTTTATGAATAGTTCGCGATTAGGCGCTATTAATAGAATAACCAATAATCCCCCTTTTCTCGTTTTCAACTTGTACGAGCACAAAATCATTTTATAAAAGCTTTGATCACCCATTTCTTTATTACATTTTATAATGTGTCCTCTAGAGAGCTACTCTATTTTGCTAGTAAATAATAATTGACTTATACGTCGCCATCCAATGGTCTAGGATCGAACAGGCTGATAGTAAATGGGGGGAGGGGGTAGAAGGAAAACGTTTGTATTAAATGATAACGTCAATTCGTTTTCTTAATTGCCCTTTGTATTGATTGATTCTAGGAAGAACTTCCTGCAACAATCCATACGTCAACAATTACGTTTTCGATCTTTAGCCAGGTGACTAACCTGAGTTGGGAATATGAGTAATGTAACAGCCACGTTTTTCTTATTAAATATATGTAAGAACGAATATGTTGTATGTTTCAGACATGAAACATTGAGTAATTCTTGGTGGCTTCTTAAAAAATAAAATCGATATTCGGTTGTCATTATCATACATCTGAACTGACAAGTTTAAGACTTAATTGCTTCTTGAGCGTCAGTAATTTTATCAAAATGGATAGAAAGTAGGAGTCCTAGACATTTATTTGATGAAAAACATTTAGCAGTGAGTTTTAAGTATTTCGCTGGTATATAATCTTACAAGCAAAGAACACACATATTACCTACACTTCTTATTATTTGTAAGATTTTTACACTGCGAAGTATGTAGTCTTAGTACCAAGTTTACGTTATAGGAAAATTAACTGAACCATTCATTATCTAGCGTTCTACGAACAAATGTTTGCCCCCGGTAAAATTCCCACGTCCTACTTTTCTATCCTGTATTGAAGTAATGCATTAAATTGCATATTTAATAATACTTAATTTCAGTCCCTTTCACACTTTTACTTGTAAAAGTGGAATCTAAAATGCAGTTTTGTACATTTTTAAATATCGATAAACAAAACTTTAGTGACGTATATACTAATATCGAGGGATGGTAAGATCATATTTCTCGCTAAATGTTATGTTTGGTTGACGCAAACATTGATTTTAGTCAAATATATATTTTTCTACAAAAATAGACACACAATAAATGGATATTCTAAAGGCTTGTAGATAATGTTATATTAAATTTCTGTAGTTTGAGTACATTAGTTATACAAAATTTTTATACTTAATAGAAGACTACTTTTTATAATAATAATTATTTATCACACAAAAGGTTGTCGAATAACAATACTTATGACATTGGAACAATTAATTAAATCGTAGACACAGTGTCTTTGACATGAGGAGCGTCAGCCACGCCCACAGTCAATCAATACGTAATTAGCTAGCGCTTTGAATCAGCAATGAATTAGACTGCGGTTGTCAGCACATTATGTTGGTTCGCTTCATAATACTAGTTAATACTATGATGTATCCGAATTTAGAAGAAAAATTATTAAGCAGTTTTACAATGAATCATAAATTGAGATTCTAAAACAATAGTAATCATTTTGAACCAGCAATAGTTCAAGGTAGGTAATTTTAATATGTAGAAAGTCGGAAAATACTAAACATCGTGAAATAAGAAACCATCATGATGGTATTTCTTATGTAGATACTCGTATAGACCAATTTGTCGCCAGTTTGCTTACAATTTTTAAAAAGAAAATATCTGATATAAATTCCACAGTCGTTGGGATTTTTTTAATCCTCGGTATTTTCAATGACTAGAATGACGTCCGTGCGACCGCAAATATGAGGACGAATCACCTGCTTTATGAATAATACCAATATATTTCCTGTTTAAATGTTTTATTGCCGACATTCAACGCTCCAGTGTGTCTGGGAACTTGACACAGGCAATGCTACTTAAAACTTTTTAAGTTAATAATATTAAGTAAAAGTACAAGACACAAATGAAATAATGGAGGTGGAAAACGTGACAGATAGTGTGAAAAGTGTTGACGATATGCCTAACATTATTTGGAATGCGACGGTTAACAGTGCAAAAAACATTAGTGAATTTGTGAATGACACAGGCATATTATCTGAAAGCGACATTGATGGTATTGCATCAATAAACAGTAATTTGGCAGCACACGATGAACTGCAAGGTAATTCGCCTTTATTTGAGGCGTTTGTCATAATAGAAATCGTCATGACAGCTCTGGCATTTATCTTATTAGTCGTAACAGCGTTTATAATACCTCGTTGGAAGAAAAATTACAGAAATCAGATGTTAATACAGTTGTGCCTTGCTCGTTTTTTAAAAAGGATCGTATGCTACATTGAATTCCGAGAGGAAAAATACACCATCCCTATACCCGAGATTCGAAAGTTAGTGCTGTTCGCAGCGGAGACTTATATCGATATTGTTGTAGTTATTATAGTTGTGTATTTTATTAAACATATGTATGATACTTTATTAGTTGTGATAGTTAAAATAAACAGAAATACATTGTTAAAAATGTCATGTTGTGCGTGGCTTTTACCTTTGCCATTAGTTATAGCAAGTGCAGTTATTATTTCACATAAATTTGTTAACGAGTGGTTGACACATTTATTCATTTGTTGTATTTTACGATGGCCGCTAATTTTAATCGGTACTGCATTTTATATAGCCATATTGTACCGAGTATTAACTGATAAGATTAGAAAATTTGCAAGAAGTTTGACAATTACCACATTCTTTGTATGCCTAATTGCAAATTTCTATTTATTTTCCAAAGATATTATAGAACTTTGGTGTTTTAAGTCGTTTATTACTGTATTAATCAATTACTTGTTGGGATTCTTTTTAAACTCGCTTATTTTAATGTTTCTTTTAATTTTGGTTATCTTAAATTATAAGAAAACATGCAAATCTACTACCTCTGTAACTAACGTTAGTATTAATAATGAAGATACAAAGTAAAAGTTATTTTATAATTATGTTTTTAATTTAGGAATTATACATTCCATTTCATTATCGACATCTCAGACGTGGAACATCACTACAGAAGACTTGGATGATAAAACGTGTATACTTGAGAAAAAGAGGCAATAATCTTAGCAGCGGAAAAGAGGCTCGTCAAGACGACTTGAATGCTTCGCCTGCCTACGTTAAGCGATTTACCTACTGCTTTGCCTCAATATATCTATATTTAGGTTTGTATGAACTCACGTTATGACGGTATCCTTTATGTGAATATTATGAGAAGGAACGAATCACTTTTAAAAATGTATTTTGAATATTTTTAGATATACGTTCCTCGTATCGGGAGCAGGTGTATCAGCAGGGCTGTTTTATCGATGTGTTCCACATATTTGATGATTTAAATGAGACTCTCGAGCACAGATACGAAACTTTTTACATGATTCGAAGAGAAAAATCGCATCTTTATATGTATGAAATTATTGCATGCACCTACATTATGCTTAAAGATTTATTTTAGAAAGGTTCAATGAGATTGATGCTACAAATATACTTTTTAATAAACCTTGATACAGCAGTAGTTATAAAGATAAAATTGTTTTGATAGTTTAATTTCTTATTACTATTGAATTCGAGACACTGAAACACAGTCACGCGGTGACGGTAAGTAAAACCCATTAGTCAGCTATATGTCCTTTTGGTTTTCACTGACAACCTATTTGTATAAAATCATGAAATATAGTCGTACCTTTCATTCCTTTAAAAAAGCAAGACAACAATTAATATAAGAGTTTTGACAGTACAATAGGGTTTTCACTCTCGGTTCTTAGAAAGCCACTAAATTAAATGATGTTTTATTATCAACTTTTCCTAGTCTCCAAGGAGGATGGGCGGCTAAGACGTGCTACTGATCCATACATCTGGATCTGCCGACATATATGGATTCACTCCCTTCAGTTCAGTTCACTCAATCCATTCATACTTTTTCGGTCTTCTTCTACCTTTGTCGCCATTATCAGAGGATGTTTATGTACATAAGTGATTATCAATGCAGTGTAAATGTTTTTAAACTTCTGTTGTCAAATTAAAGGTTTTTCTGCATTTCATCAAATTGATAATGGTTTTTGATAAAAAATAAATCGAACACTGACGGGAAGGAGGTGAAGGTGTAATTTTATTTAGACAAAACAACGAAATAATAGAACAATGTTAGGGGAAAACAATTAAAACTAGACAAATATTAAAACTAATTCTTTTAATTTAGGATCACAAGGTTATGTTTTCTTATTTCAACCTAATCGATGTTAACTACTTGAAGGCGTAATTGCTAACAATAAATTTAGACAATTCAGGAGGCCTCAGATGCTCAGTAATAAAGCAATCCAAATTCAAAACCCTTTTCTTAACAATTCTCGTTTACTTTAGAATAAATCAAACACTTTACTGGTATCATATGCGTAATTAAATCTATTTATTGCATTTTAATATAAATTTAAAAGTAACACGTTATGTATAAAATATCTCAAGTAAAGACGTCGTTTATTAAAAAGGAATATAGTAAGAAGAACCGGTACTGTGCTTATTCCCATTTAATCAAAAACCACCGGTTTTACGGTTAAAGATTTATTTACAATAAAATATCCA